GAACTTTTATTATAAATTTTAAAATAATTATAAAAATTAATAAATTCATAATATATGCAAGTATTTTATTAATTTTCTTTTCAATTTATAAGCTAGTTCTATAAAAAAAAAATACAAGTATAGAATTTTTGTTACTATTGTATCTCCATCATCAGCAAAGTTGATCTTCTTTCTTACTAAGATTTCATTCTGGACTGTTTTCTTATTATTTTATAAAGTTGTTTAGACTAAATAGTTTTTTAAAGCTGTTAAAAAGCAGCTTTTTAATAATGTTTGCTATTCGAATTAAATAAAAAGCATACAAAAAAAAAAACACAAATTCAGATCAAATTTCAATCCTGAGATCTCCGGTGAATGATGACAATGGAAAGCAAAACCACAGCAAAATAGATCGCAGCGGCCATTGTTGAGATAACATTTGTGGCCACAACATTCCAGGCCACTTCTTCAGTCACTGCTGCTGCTGTATTTGCTGTGGAGAGGATCGTCAATGCTACCAAATCTACAACAGCTACTGGAAGATGAAGCCGGGTGCCATATTTTGATGGAGGAGGAACTGTCAGTAGCCTTGACATAGATTGAAGTGTAGATAGCTTTGCCTGTAAGAGAGTTGTAAGTCATGGACTGATTTGTCTGCTTAGAGAAGCCCATCAAAACAGCTGCCATTAACGTAGCAACGACGACAGATAGCCTCAAGCATCGAATGGAGCGGAGCAGCCGCGCTTCGCGGGACAAAGCAGTAGCTGAATCTTCATGGTCAGTAGTTATCGATCATGGTGGAGGACTAAGAAAAGAACTGTAAGAAGAGAAAATTGGAGGGCAAAGGGATCTTAATTTTCTTTAACGTTCTTGAATGGGGATCGATTCGGATTTGGGAAATGACAGCCGGCTGCATTTCATACGCGCGCGTAACTAATAATTTTCATGCTTTGAGTTTTGTATCTGAATGGAATTTTCAGAGTAAATCATGCTTTTAGTTTGATCGGTGCAAAAACAAAGAAGAAAATCAACGCCAAAAAATAAACTTATTAATATTTTAGTCAATTGGTATAATAAAATGTAAATCATATAATTATATTTGCATAAAATAATAATTTACAGCAAAAGAAAAATCCTCTAAAATACAAGGATTTTCATCTATATATTAATGTGTTCAGTCCTTCAGGTGGAAAAATTGTTGGTTTTGCAACTTAAAATTTCTCTTTACTTCTCTTGCAACTTAAATTTTACCTTTGTTTTATGCACACCCAGCCATTATTGTAATAGAGGGAAACATTGGTGAAGCTTCCATTTGCTCTCATGCAATCTAGTTGTGATGCAAAACTATTAGCTTACATACTTCATATCTTCATATTGTATGACCTTCAAAGCTTCCATGATAATGGCATCCCCATTTCCCTATAATTTTTTTTTTTTTTTGAGAACGGGATATCTACCCACTGCTACCGCGTGATTAATCCTCGACTGATCTAGAAGAGACACCCACACTTGATTGGGCCGCACTGAAGAGGCGCTGCCGCTTGAGAGAAATCAAGCAAGGGTTGAGAGTTCCCAAGTCAAAAATTTCTCTGTACCTTTTTTTTCTGAAAATTCCTGATCTAAAACCAGTAAAGTCTTGCTCCCATGTGATAGTAGGATAGCATGCTCTCAGTGGCTAGCAGTAAAAGAAAAATAAATAAACCCCCACCAAAACAAAATCCATTATCTACACAACATAGCCTGCACTAGAAGACTTTGCTTCACCAGTCAAGGACAGCAAAGATCATCCGTCAGATTTTAACGGTCATTTTTTTAAATGAAATATTTACAGAGCAGAATTTCTAAACAGACAGAAATCAGGATAGAAGCAAGAGTGCAAGACTCTGTAGATTAAAAATACAACCAGGAAGTTGCTGATCAACATTCAGCTTTTCCATTTATTTTCTAAAACATTCCATGCGCGAATTGAAAAGCGCTAAAAAGAGGAAACTGCGTCATCTTTTCCTTCCCCATTATTCCTCAACAAAGGGTCAATTATACTCTTCCATGTCTCGTAGTCAAGAGCAGAACCAGCGTTAGGCAGAAGAAAACCGTTAACAAAGAAAAACGGTGTGCCAAACACTCCTCTAGTGCACCCGTACTTGATTGAAGAACAGAAAATAAAGCATTTCAGATGAATAGAACTAAACCATATTCTCAAAATTAATAAGGGAACTTAGATGAATTATCACCTTGAAGGAAGTTCTTGTAGCTGAATCAGTGTGGGAATTGATGAAGCCATCTTTGAATGCTGGTAGAAGAGAGTTCCCAACTGCTTCTGCACCAAGTCTTGCTATGTCATCAACTATAGCTTCCCTCGACAAGTTCTTGGTTGGACCATTGTAGTACTTTTCCTGTTCAGTGTAAGAAGATTCGGTGTAATTAGATTCGGGCTTCGTTTGGTACGGCTTTCTTATTGCTTCTTAAAGCAGCTTTCTAATACAAAATTTAAATTTTTGTATTAAAAAGCTGCTTTAAGAAGCAGTACGAAAGCCGTCCCAAACAAAACCTCATAAGAGAATGTTGCCTCTGAATGTTGGAAATTAGGCAAGACCTAATTCAAATCATCAAGAACAAAAAAAAAAAAAATGGAAATAAGATGAACACATGATACACCAATAATTTATATAGGTTAAACTTAACGTCTTGTTGCTATCATTCCAGATTTCATTATGATTTTGATTGTAGAATTTTATAGCTACTTTCTCTAATAAAACAAATTTATGAATAAAAAATATGCATTAACATTTCTAAAATACAGTTATTAAAACAACCTGTAAATATTAGGTCAGTCTGTGGCTGATTCATACAAGTATTTAAAGTATGGTCATAAGTATTTAAAGGTCCTAGGTCTCGGCTACATATAATACTATATAAAAATGGCATTTCTATAAATGATGTACATGGTGGTTCAAGCCCCTGAACACGTCGAAGACATTAAGACCTGTAAGAGAACTAGGAGTAAAATTCTTGTGGTCCATAATTGATTGATCATCGAAGGGAGAGAAAAATCGGGATAAGTTGGGGGCATAGTGGGAGGACAAGCTTTTAACTAGCTACTAATGAGAATTATAAGAACTTTAGCTCAAGCGGTATGTGCTCTAATTCTAAGGGTAGAGGTCAGAAGGTCAAGTATGGCTTGTAACCTTCTTTATATTAATCACTAGATCCAGGGGCGGAGCCAAAAAATTTTTTACGTGGGGGCACAAATCATTAAAGTAATTAAAAAATCCTCAACATTAAGAAACTCAATTATGGCTTAATACTCGACAGCTAAATAAACAATCTTGAACAACTTGGCGCTCATGAACAACATCGTTTAGAGCTTGTGAATATGTTCGTTAAGAAGCTCGATCATGCCTTATGGAATATACATGAAGGATTGCTATTGGGATGAAAAAGGTCAAAAGATAATTGATTTATACTATATTTAAAACATCATATCTAATATTAATTAGATGTTCATACCAAAGTCAGTGGGGGCCCTGGGGGCAGGGCCCCCACAATGCATCCGCCACTGACTAGATCCCACAACCTATTCTTTGGATGAGGATAAATTTTGAAGCCTCCAATTGTTGCTAACGCATAGTCTACCTTATCATAAACTGGTAAAGTATTGATTCATGCCCAACAATACATGTTTTCTACCTTAACAAATTGAAATGAGAAAATGATTGCATAAGAATAATACTGCAAAACAGCTATTATTCCAAGTAAAACTAATGAAAACGTGTGCATAAGATGAAGAGGTAACATGTCTTCGAAGGATAAAGTCCTTTCCCTTCGAGATAGCATTTGATCCTAAGGCATCGGCATTATAATGACCATTCATATTATATATTAAGATATGGAATTTAATAATCTGAAATGATTAGAATGGAGTTGTATGAAGCATATAGGTCTTTAAAAACAAAATATTCATCATTCAAGCAAGGTGAAATAGACTATATGCAAAGTTCAAAGTTTATATCATATTAAGGAGCAAAGGCATGGCTGCATTAAAGAGAGAACTTATGTACTTCTAATTTAAAAAAGCAGCATCAGTTGAATAAGAGTACAAAGGAGAAACAAAAAACACCACAATACAAAAGAATCTAGATTCCATGTGACTTTTGTATAACATAAAGGCTTACCTGGTATTTAAAAAATAGCTCTAGTAATGGATATGTGGCAGAAACATTTAGCATGTTTGCTATATGAAGAGCTCGGCAAGCAACAAAAGAATTATCATGATATCTGCAATGGAAAATGTTAGTAGTTTTCATAAAACGTCTTCATGCCAGTAGCTTACACACGTCATCAAAAGTGAAACAGGAACCAGGAAAATAGCAAAATAAATTAAATTTGCATGGAAAAGAAAATCTATGTATCAAACTGGGAACATCTATGCAAATTTGTAATGTTTGCTTACATCATGATTGATGAATTTCTTTCCAAAAAATATATGAAAGAGAAAACTTAATATTTTGCGGAGCATAAGTTCAGGTAAGGTTGGGTATGGCGACGATTTTGAGTGGATTGTGCAAGTCAGATACCTTTACCTTCTGATGATGTTTTAGATTCAATCAAATGCTCATATTTCCACTGAATTTGAAATGAAAGGTGCAGAATTATTATTTTAGGGGTTATTTGTTTTGCTAAAATATAATGTAAACTATATGTAGTGTATAAAATATGGCTGCTGGAAACAATGGGCAGTGTCAATGCCGACAGTGCGGCACATAGGAGTTGTATCTGAGATTTCGCTAAAATGGGCCAAATTCCAAATAAATTGAAAGTGAATTAGATTGAGAGTTTCAAATCCGCCGCGATTTTACACTGCATAGACTTTTCGTCCAACCAAACACAGAAAATTTTAAAACTCTTTCATTTACTTTACACAAGTAATAGTAGCAACCAATTAGCCCCTAAATTGAAAAAAGATTTCTACACAAATAGAATGTAGCAACTCAATTGAGTTGACAAGTTGCAGAATTCATATAAATGTAATTTGAAGCTAGTACAAAATATCTCATAACTTGTTAGGCGCACTCAAAATAGCACACAGCATAAATTAAATTTCATAAATAGAATGACAATATTGTTTGGTTAACACTAGCTATGAAGAATAATGATCCAAAGCCTGGCTAATTCCAAAGGGGCCAAGAAACACCATACGTAAATGTCAGCATAGAAATTTTTTTTTACTCAACTAATTAAGAAGCTTATTAACTTTTGTTAAAAAAATTTAAAACCACTTTTTGAGTAAATAATAAGTTCAAAAGGAGAGTCTTAGTATAATGACCCAGCCCACACTACACTAGATAATTATCCGTTTTAGCCCAACTAATCCCACACATGCTGAACCTCTCATTTTTACCTTTTTGATGTAACTTCCAAAGATGCTCCTCATCCTAAGAATTCTCCATCACAAGCACCCATAATTGTAGCGTTTTCATTGAAATTCCATTTATTATATCTAAAGGTGCCTAGCATATTTGTTATACCCTTCACTTATATAACCCAAGAACCATTCTACCCCTCCCCCTTTTCTCTCTTATAAGCTTAAAATCTTCGAATCCTGCTAGAACCCACTTCTGGTCCAAGCCTTGGCCACAATTCTTTAGATAGCCTCTTTGAATGTGAGATGTTACGGGCTGACCAACATTCATTTAGTTTCTCCTCAAATCACACATCAAATTAGATGAGGTTTAGCACAAATATTAATTTGTAATGAGCCATCCACACTATTTGACGAATAGCGTTGGCCAAACCCATACCATTCTAGGTTGAACCTCACCATTTTTCCCTTCTTGGTTTCACTTCCTAGAAAGACACTCATTCTAAGAAATACTCCATCACGAGCACCCGTGATTATGGAGTTCGATTGAAACTTTGCTCATCACCCCTGGAAGTGTCTCACATATTTGGTCTAACATTTACTTATACAACCTAGTAACCTTTCTAACCCATATGATGTGTAATATAATTTATTTAGGGGTGTAAATAAGCCAAACTAGCTCACGAGCCACTTGAGCTTGACTCATTAATGAGCTCATGAGTAGAGTTTATCAAGCAACGAGTTCGAGCTCGAGCTTATACTCGAGCTCAAATAGTAAACGAGCTCGAGCTCAATCTAACTCGTGCTGAAAGCTCATTGAGCTGCATGATTAACTTAAAATATATTTAAAAAAATTAATTTAAATTAATATTTTTATAATATATTTTAATATTTTAAAACTAATTTATAATAAAAATTGAATTTTTTTTTATTTAAAACTAAGACATGAAGCTTAATAATCGAGTCAAGCTAGAGCTTTCCAAACAAAATCGAGCCTATAAATTTTAAACGAGTCGAGCCCGAGCTTAGTAAATAAGCTCGAGCTCTAATTCAGTAAGAACTCAACAAGCTTAGCTCAATTAGACAGATACTTGACTCGACTCGACTCGTTTACACCCTTAGGTTTATTTATGCCCCCCCTGATGTAAGACAAACATGCGAAGAGTTGCTTTGGAATTGTAACAAATAAGATTGAATTAGTACATTGCTAATTAGTAACTCATGCTTCAATCAAGTTAAATTCTTAGAACTTTCCGTTGGAAGATTAAGTAAAGGTAAGCCGTTACAAGATGTTAGTAAGACAATTGCAATAACAACAAAATTTAAATAGCAGTTCTAATAGCAAGTAATCAAGAATCCAAAGCGTAACATCAAGACATGGTCATTTAGAGTTCCTACTCAATCACTCTTAGGCTTAGCGGTTGAAGATGAAGCATACGATGAGAGAAACTGCCACTAGGAAGATAGGACCAAAGGTCTTTGTTGATGGAGAAGTAGCCACGGACGGAGAAGGGGTATATCTCCCAACGAGAAGCCAAGGCGTCTTCGGCTTTTGAAGATCGATCGTCTCTACCAAGCAATAAAGAATGCGCTTGACATATCTTTCCACCGTTTCGTCGTATTCCCAGTCCGGCTCGTAGAAGGGGGAGATGAGGATGTCGATTTCCCCTCGTTCATTGTAAGCGAAGCCGTGATCGACTTCAGGATCGATCATGCACCATAAGCATGAGGAGGAGAGAACACCAAGAGAAGGGGCGGCCAAAGGTGGAGAAGAGGGGGGGTCGACTAGGGTGGGAGAATTAGGTTTGATCCAAGAAAGAAAGAGAGGTTTTATTCCAAATCTGAAATTAATTTCAGGATTTGAGAAAATTTGGAGGGAGACCAATTTGGGATTTGATTTCAAATTGATTGTAATTAAGGCATTGATTGAAGATTAATGGGAGAGACCCAAGCATGGGGCCGGCGGCATGGAGAGAGAGGGAGAGAGCTTTTATTCCCAAACCTGAAATTAATATTCAGAATTTGAGTGAATTTGGGGGGAAACTAATTTGAAATTTGATTTCAAATTAATTTGCAATTAATGCATTGATTGGGGATTTAATGGGGGTGGGGGGCAAGCATGAGACCGACGACATGGAGAGAGGAGGAAAAGGAATTAGGGAGGATTTAGACTCTTTCCAAACAAGATATGACAACGAGGCGGGAAAATAATGAATCATCCAAAATTAAATTTCGAATGGATTCAAATTTAGAAACTTTCCTTATTTAGATTTCGCAAATAAAGAAATTTTTGAATTTCAAAATTCACAAATTTATTCCTCAATGCAAGATCTAAGTTAGGGAATCATTATGATGATTGAAATCATCATAATTTGTTTGATGAATGAACAGGTGGCCGACGGTCAAAGGGGAAGAGGGGTGTGCCGTCTTGTTGAGGTGGGCTTGGATGGGGGTTGGACGGGATGTGGTGGAGTTAGAGGATGGAATGGATGGGAGAGGTTAAGAAATCGGTGGAGGTAGGATTGGGAAGGGGCCGGCGGGTGGAGAGGGGAAGAAAGATGAGGGAAACTTAAGTAAAATAGAAAAGAAGAAATTACCACGAGCCGTGGACTCTTCCAACGACTAGTGGGCCTTGCACTTGCTCACCTCGAGCTCTCTCCCTTCCCTCTAGTGATCATACAAGAAGAAGAAGAACACAATAAATTTTCATTAAACATTCATCATCCTTTTACAACACAATGGGCCACTATATATAGGCCTCTCAACATGAAAAAGAAAAGTACAAACATGGCCTCCGGGCTACAATGACAAGATACTCCCCCATAAGGGTAAAAACGAAAAAATAACAAAAACTAAATAAAACATCATGCATACAACTAGATAAAACATAAAGCGTCAAAAGTAAAGACGCTAGATCGTAGCCATCGATCTACGATTCCGTCGTTGGTACACGTGTCTGAATCTCTGAGCGATGTCCTCATCCCCCCCCCCCCTCTTTTTCAAAAAAAGTCTACCAAAAGCTGCTCATTGCCCGAGCATTAGCCTCACCCTCTTCGGACCATCGTCTTTTGATTCGAGATATCACACTTGGTAAGAAGTCATAACTCTAATGGCTCCAAAAAAGAAAAATTAGAAGACAATATCAAGTTATAGGACATACGGGCATGGCTCTTTCTGCAAGATAATTTAAAAAGATCAAAATTTAAAAATTCAAATAAAAAAATCAATGCTTTGTGAAATTTATGCATCAATTATTGCACCTATCAAGGTTTTAGCAACGACGCAAGTCATTCATCATATATTTATCTCTCAACTTCTGCACTAGGGATGTTATAAAGACTGCTTTCTAATGCATGGATATATGTCACATATATACATGAAATTTCACATAGTTCTTCTTCTACAACCTATATTGAGCCAACATTGATGCTCCTTCAACCCATTTTCTTTTGTGATTCTATCATCTCCAAAACGTACGATAAATATTTAACACACAACTGCTATTTCTTGTATATCATTGCTTCTCCTATATCCCAGATCATGGTTTCGTTCATGATGAAATAAACTTATAAGTGTGGATTCATAAGTAAAGAAGAATGAAAAAGAGAGGAGTGGAGGTTATCACAACAGGACAATGTTGAAGCTATGTTGATTTTGATGAATACAAACAAGCCATATGCATTTGGAATAATTGCTCTACCTAGCATCTTCATTGATCAACTCAGCAAAAGGATTGAATTTTTAACTAGTGGAGGTGCCTTGGATGCCCAGAATAATGAAATGAGCACGTGTTTCTAACCCTTGCAATTTGATAAACATGTGATCTATCATCGCGCTAAAATGATTTTGAATGGAGATAAACAAGACAATCTTAAAATCTATACTGATAATAATATTCATATTCTTCATAAGAACCACTAATGTTGATAAGAATAGAAACTGCATTCATATGCATAATCACGAGGGTTATATACAAGATAAGTACATAATTCCTCAACTGCTTCATCTAGGAAACATGTCAATAAATTTATAATATCAAATTAATGTGAACAAAAGGAATTTCTTGTATTTTTAATGTACTTTTCGAGCATCAGCTAATGCATAATACATGCATATTTGCTTAACTTTACCAATTTCAGGATAGAAAAATAAGAAAAATTCATATAGTTTAAGCTAGGATTTAAATACCAATACTATCAGAAAATTCACCTTTGATGTATGGACATTCATCTTTGATACCAAATTGATGTAGACGATATAACTGAATTGATGTTAATTTGATGATGGACCATTGTTAATAATTTTTAATGTGTGAACTGTATCTAATGTGCATTCCTTGTTCCTCTTATTGAAAGTGACCTTATTTCTTCTTTGGATTTGATGGGAATTGGAAAAAGGAAGAGAAGTGTCTCAATCAGAAGTAACCAAGGGGCAAAAAGCTCAAGATGAAACCTTGGGCATTGTTTAGCTTTGCAATCAGACTACATTCTAAAAGTAAATGAATACAAAGAGAATTTTACAATTGTTGCTCGATTTAATGGCGTAACAAAGGGTTGTGATAACGAGAATTATAACAACAACAACAACAACAACAACATCAAGCCTTTATCCCACTACGTGGGGTCGGCTACATGAATCCTTTTTCTCCATTGTGTCCTATTAAAATTCAAATTCTCGTTTAAATCTAATAAGAAAGGTCATTCCTAATATTTTCTAACCAAGTCTTTTTAGGTCTACCCCTACCTTTCTTAACATAAGTCAAATCTAATACCTCTACTCTCCTAACCGGGTCATCACAAGGCCGCCGTTTTATGTGACCAAACCATCTAAGGCGACTTTCTCTAATCTTATCTTCTACTGGAGCTACTCCGACCTTTTCACGTATATGCTCATTTCGTATCCTACCTCTTAAGAATAAAAAAATGTATTAGTTTATAAAAGTTTACTGAAGTTCAAATTCTGGTGGTATGCTTCAACATTTAATTAAATTAAAACTAAAAGCAATCTTAAAATAATTAAAATTACTAGAATATTCTAAAAATATTTTTCTTGTGTTGCACAAGGGATAAAAATTTCAAATTAACCTCTTTTTTATGTAGAATTCCTTCATCTCGTCATTTTCATAAAAGGTTTAAACAGCATAGAAATGTCCGACTATAAGAAGCTGATTGATGTTGATGTAACAATTTGGCTAATTGCTTTGCTTCTACCCACGAAACAAACCTTTCATCTTATCGATGCTCAAAATTTCATCCAAAGTAAACACCAATAACAAGCAAAGGAGTATTTCCAATAACATTGAAAAAATCTAAAAATTTGCCTCAAACATGCACAACGATACTAACTTTCACTAAGGCTATATTGATTACAATATCACAATTTCAGTTTTAGAATGACCGTCGTAAAATAGGTGGACGAGAAGTTTAGTATCAGAATATACAACAAGAAAAGTTTCAGGTTCTGAAGCTAACCAAACAAGAGTAAACTAAGAAGTCATGCAATTTAAAAATAAAAATAGAAACTAACAAAACAATACCAAATTTCTTCATATGGCGCTAGTGAAGTTCAGCTGGCTACAAATAAAATAAGTAGGGAACCCAAAAAAAGATGTGCCCGATGACAGAGCAGCTTACGGGAGGGGGAAGGGATGGGCGAGAAGGGAGAGCCGAGGATGATATTCAAGGAGAACTTGCTTCAGAGGAGGCCAAGAGTCTCTGCTATCGGGACATAAAGGATCTAAAAAAGCTTCCACGATTATGCCGTTAGTGATTCCCAAGTTGTCGCCGTAGGGAAAGCCGTCGTACCTGGCAGGGATAGAACTCTGGGCTATAGATACGCCCTGGAAGAAGAGAAGAAGGAGAAGCAGGAACGCCGGAAGTGGGTATCTCCCCATGACACAGATAATTGAGCTTGCTTTGGTCGGAGAAGGAACCGTAAGGCCCAAAGAGGAGAACGACAAGGCCGTGAAATCGACGGACTTGCATTTTTTCATATTGGACCTTTGAATTGTATAAAATGATATTCAAGGATTGCATAACTCTCATTTAAAAAAAAAATTATCATCTTGTGAACTTATAAGAGATTACATACATACCACTTCATTTCATATTATTTACATATCTAACACATAAATTTTTAATATAACATTCATAGCACTCATATAAAATTTTAATATCAAATATATCACCCATTTAATTCATTCTTATCACCCATAACACCCTATAAATTTTAATATTTCATTCCATACACTTATATTTGTTCTATGGATGGTAGGCTTATAATATTAAAATTTTGTGTTAAATATGTAAAAAAGATGACATGAGGCGGTATATAAGACTTTCATGTTGTTTACAAATCTAGCAACCAAAACTTTAATATTAAATTCCTACCACTCATATAAAATTTTAATATCAAATATATCACTTATACATTTCATTCTTACCACCCATATTATCCTATAAACTTTAATATTTCATTATATACACTCATATTTATTATGTGGATGGTATGGATGTAATATTAAAATTTTAGGTGTTAGATATGTAAATAACATGAAATAAAGTGGTATGTATGTAAATTCACCTTAAATATTTTGTGGAAGATCCAAAAAAATCAAATTAAAAAATGTATGTAGTCTCTTGAACCTTCACGTACTAACCATCCATGCTTGTGATATTGTTTTGATGAATTTTATTTCAGACATACTATGGATGTTAATAATGCTCTCATAAATAATTTATAAAGAGTTCTAATAAAAACTAATATAATAATTTTTTTTATATAATTTTCAAACTCTTATAATATTTTCTTAATTTTTAACTCTTAAATTAGACTATATATTTTCATAAATAAAATTGGTTTGTTCTATGCCATATTCTCCACTTTTTTGGAAATTATACTTCTGAAGAATTTATATAATGCTAATGAAAAATACTAAAATATGAATAAACATGCAAATGCAAATCAAGCATATATACATAATAATTTAGATAAATACTATTTTTTTTCCAAAAAAAAAAAAAAATCATTCTAAAAGTGTAATATTGATTACCAAAATAAAGATCCAAACCAATACAAAAAGAGGTTGAAAAATTTTGTTGTGAAAAACTGAAGCAAAAGGGAGGGAAATTCGAAAAAAAGTAATTAAGGAAATAAATATCAATATACAAATTATCAAAATACTCGTCAAAGCGTTCATCACATGTAAGTGGATTGTCTTTCAGTGAGAGAGCCAGAAAGGGGGGGGGGGGGGGGGGGGGGGGCCTAAATTGGTGCGGTGGAGGTCTAAATTAAAATATTTTAAATTGCATTATTGATCATGTATGAATGTATGACTTGAAAGGAATGATAATGCTTTATTAGTGAATTAGTTCATTTTCTTCCTTTACAAGTTAAATTTGCCTTAAAAGTATAGTTGGTAAGATGGAAGGAAAATCAAGACGTTGCAAACATTAATTCTTTGATATCCTCATAAACCCAAAAAAAAAAAAAAATCAATATAAGAAATCGAATAAAGCCAATTAGCTAGTGTAGCGTCTCGTCGTTGGCAAGATAAGGCATGAAGTCCGCCAGATTAACATGCATCCCTAGCACAAATCCTATCAAATCGAAGTACTCTACAACATCGCAAGTCCTCCCAAAATACAAACACCTCCCATCCACAAGAGAAGCAAAGCGTCGAACATCTGGCATGCACGACTCGAAGACTGAAAACAATTAAAATGGATAAGAAAGCTTCATGTAGGGTCATGGATGATTACTTTAGTTGAATTCTGCATGCGAAGTTTTCTAAAATTACACATAAAAGTGTCAAGTACATATAAAAATGATAAAGTAAAGCAAAATAAGTCAAAATAGTTTTGTCTTTCTAACTTTGTCAAAGATATGTTTGGGCATTACACAACAACATGAAAAAATGTATGAGCGCCAATCTAAACTAAAACTCTTACAAGTTTTTAAAATACACAATTAAAAATGTTAGGAGGTGGATGGAGATAACCATATAATATCCAAGTGCGGAAGCTTGGACTATGGTTCCAATAATAATTTAATCGATGCGCCACCAAACTCTCCCCAAAGAAATATGCTATAAAGTCAAACCCTAATGTTAAGCAATTTTATTTCAAATTCTGGGCTATTTGGTTTGAAGTGAGTGTAAATTATTCAAAATAAAGGCTTTAAATTATTCAAAATAAAGAAATTTTGAAAATATTAATGTCCTGCTGGATGAAAAATGAATGCATTATAAAATTCCAGTGAATTTATTTTTTAACTGATTTGATTAATTTTTATAAATTGTAAAATCGACTTGTTGCGTCTTGGAGTATTCGCGGCGGTAGAGAAATATATAGTTTAACGTCTTAGCGTTGTACGAAGATCCAGCACACAATCAGATAAGTGAGAGGGTGTAGCGTTCATAAGAGACACCAAAATTTTTACGTGGAAAACCCCTCTAATTTTGTGATGACGTATCACGACTAATTTTCATAAAAAAAATTTTTTTTTATCACAAACAAACTGGCTTGCCTTCTTAACAAAGAAGAAGATGGGAAGAGAAAGGGTTAAGAAGGCTCATACGATCGGCAAAGATTTATTTGTTAGAAGAAAAAAAAAAAAATCAAAGAAAACTTTAAAATATTTTTTTAGAGGGGCACCAAACTGGCGGAAAGTATCACCAAATTCATCTGCTGAAACTCAGCGAAAACCTCCCCGATCCTCTTCCTCCCCTCCCCGTCATCAGTTCTCCTACCTAAACTCGGAAGCCAAAAACCCTAGGAATTTATAGGCCAATGGCAAGGGGTTTTCGTGGCATGAAAGATGATTTCATGGAGATAATCAATCACATCATCGGGCTTTCCTGTTGCTCCGTGGCCCATGATGACAACAACGAAGGTCTCTTTCTTCCTCTGCCGCAGCCCACCGTCGGTGATTTCTCCTGTTTAGAAGTGAGTCGGGAGTTTTCAGCCACCGATACGGAGGTTAGTGATGCTGCGGCGACGGAAGGTGCTACCTGTTCCGCTCCCACTAGTACGGCGACTGTGGATGATGGTGCATACTCAGTGATAAGTAGAGTTCATTTATAAACTGAGATGTTTGGTTCTATCTCATTATTGCTTAGTTTTGATTGATTTGTATCATACTTGGTTACTACGTTTTCTTCTTGCCTATGATATCCTAAATGTTGAATTCTCATGTATGTTAATACTTTTAAGAAATTTATTATTTAGCTTACCAAGCAAAATGCCAAGAAGCGAACAATGGCTCAAGAAGTAAAGATGCTTCTATGGGGGAATTTTGACATCGAAATAACTGAAACAAAGGAGAAAGACAGGACATTTGTAGTGAGGTCTCTGAGGATGCCTAATGTGGCTTTAATAAAGCTAAAAAATTGAAAACAAAGGAACATGAAGGGAAAGAAAAAGAATTATAGCATCAATTAACCGACAGGGGAATACCTTTTATGGTTGGGAGGAAGAAAGGAAAAACTATGCTTTCATCTCTGTAGGGCTAGGAGTAGAGAAGACAAATAAGGTGAATGAGAGATAGGATGGATGATGACTTTTTTTTTGACTTGTATGGAAGCTATGATTGATCGAATGTGAAAAGGAGGGCTTGCAATAACATAAAAGAAAGAGAGAATGTGCAGCTACTGGAATGATTAGTTGCAAAGAGGTGGGAGAAGTTTTGAGTAAACTTTAACTAATTCATCTATATTACATGATAGCATAGAAAAAAAATGAAAGAAACTAGATCTCATAAAATAATTTTTGAAGGTGGTGGGGATTCAAATTGAGTCAGGTAAAGGAATACATGATCTATTTGCATAGTAACTACTATTTGTCACAAACCAGTCCAAGGTCAACTAGCCCAACTTAATTGGGTTGGATTTTCATTTGCTTGTGGCACAGGGGTTCATGCGAAGGTTGAGCACTTGCTTTTAGAAGTATTATCAAATGATGTGCTGGACACTTGCTTATGATTTTTATAAAAATTATTATTATTATTTTCAAAGCACACACAACCATATTATTTAATGGTGGCGATAAATCTAGAGATGGGGAACAAAATATGTGCGGTAAAGAAAATGAAATAGATATTATATCAAAGATTATATTAAGTTTGTGCTAGAAACTCCTAACTTAAGTTTTGATTTGCTTCTTTAAACTTGAAATGGGCCCTTTGGGAATTTTGTTTTATTCAATCTAATTGCCAATGATTTGTTGTTCTAGTATTTAGAATGACTCAAAATTTGAAAACCGTGTTTTTTTCTTCTAAATTATAATATATTTTTTTTGCAATAAATACTATATTATATTATCAAAAGTTATTACTCTTAATTAAAATAAGTAAAATTATTTAGCATCTCACTTTACTCAGGCAAGCATTTAGCAGCTCAGGCATTTGGCAACTATGATTTCCTTAAGGGAGCTTAGCACCTTTAATAACACTTATTCTTTAGCTGTGGCAATAGTGGTTTGGGTTATGTTGTTTCCGCTTACTAGGTTCACTTCATTGGGAATGACACAACGATGACCTCCTTTTTAGTTAGTTTGCACTTATTGATGCAGGTTCTTCCAAGAAGGTTAAGACTTTTTTGAGTCGTTCTGCCATCAGTACTCGATTCTCATGCAAAATTGTTCATCTTAAATAGCTTCTTGTGAGGCGATGTCTTTATATGTATTAAAATGTTAAGACATTATCTCAATTTTTTTTTTTTTTATAATTTTTATGTTAAGACATTATCTCATATTTCAATAAGATCCATGAAGTTTTCTTGAAATTGTTGCTCCAATTTGCCCATTGAAACTTTTCTTTATCACCACCACAATGTTTGTTATGCCATCACCTCCAAATAGGGTGTAAATGAATTGAGTCGAGCCCGAGTCACCCTTGGCTTGAGCTCGAGCTTGATTAATTAATTGAGTTTGAGCTCAAACTCGAGTTTCCGGCTCGTTTTTTATGAAAGTGAGAAAATGATTATGATTTAAATAATTATTAAAATAAAATGATAAAAAGACTGACAAATTATTAAAAAATAATAAAGAATCACTTAATATAAAAAAGTGAAATATAATTTTTAATTATTTTAATAAATTTGTACTTAAAGTCTTGAATTTTAATATATTTTAAGTATATTTTATATTAATATTTTTTAAACGAAGTGGTTCGCAAGCTAACAAGTCGATTTGGTCTGGCGCAAGCTTGGCTCGTTAGCTCATCGAGCTAGTTTCACGAGCCATTTATTGAGCCTAGCCCGAGCTGGCTCACGAGTCGACTTGACTCACTTATCTTATACATCATTGTAGTCTTCCTGCATCAATCATCTAGATTTACTTGGGTGTGGACAAGATAGATGAAACATCCAATGGTTCATCATTATTCAACAATGACAACATATCCAAAATAAAAGATATCACGAGTCTCCTGCATGAATGCAAGCAGTCTCCAGGGCTTCCAATTTCTTACTAGGGGCTATGTTGCTAACATTGATTGTTATAGTTAGATTGATTTGAGGCGAAGTTGATCTTCATAATGTCAAGCAGAGTTGCATGCCCCAGGTTGCAATTTTGGAAGTTTTAATTGGTCCATGTTGGATTTAATTTAATTCGATTCTCTTGCCAAGGGTATAGTCATAAATATTTCTTACCCTAGATTAGGGAATCAATCAAACGTTCATAATTGATTCAATCTACAGTCATTGTGAAAGTGGTTGATCAAAATTCCTTGGAAGGTTTCTTAGATGCCCAGTAAATTTAGGTTCCACTGGATTACAATCATCGAGAAGGTCTCTACCAAAGATGTTAAATAATGCAAAGTATATGCAGTGTAACGATTGCTGATGAATATTAGAAACTTGAGGGGTGCAAAACCCAAGGGGAAGGGAGATAGAAAGAAAGGATATGCAACTACATCAATAACAAATTAAATTTGTAGACAAAAATTCAGAAAATGCTAATCGATCTAGTGGCTATCTTTAAGTGACAACAACAACAACAACAACTTGAAGCCTTTATCCCATCGTGGGGTCGGCTGTATGAATCCTTTTTCTCCATTGTGTCATGTTAAGATTCAAATTCTCATTTAAATCTAATAAATATATTTCATTTATAATATTTTCTAACCAAGTATTCTTAGGTCTATCTCTACCTATGATGCACCGACACGGACACGACAATTTTTAAAAATATAGGACACGGGTGCGGTGTGGACACGGCATAATATTTTTTTAATATAATATATAATAATTTTTAAAAATATAGGACACGGACACGGCGTGGACAGATGGCTCTTTTGAACCTTCACCTAATCCACCCCCCCCCCCGGCCAGGACCAGACCCCATTTACCTTCACCTAATCCGCCCCCACTAGTAGCAGAGCTCATTTTGCTAACAAACCAATCATACATATGAATACACCAAATTAAATTGATATGAAGTGAAATCAAAATATCCCAATAATAAGACAACATGAATACAACAATATACCAGTCTGCCGGGGGTCCAAGGGGGCATTGCCCCCTGGCGGTTCGACTTGCCCGGTTAGGTCGCGGGGTCAAGGGGCAGCACCCCTGCGGTACTGAGCGGTATCGAGCATGTACCTAGTGATACTGAGCGGTACCGAGCATGTACCTAGCAGTACCGAGCATGTACCAAGCAGTACCGAGCATGTACCAAGCAGTACCGAGCATGTACCAAGCGGTACTGAGCGGTACTGAGCATGTACTGAGCAATACCGTGCATGTACGGAGCGGTACCGAGCATGTACTGAGCTGTACCGAGCATATACTGAGCAATACCGAGCATGTACTGAGCGGTATCGAGCATATACTGAGCGGTGTGCGATACCTCATTTAATAACCGGACACGCGTGTCCGATTTTAATTTTAATTTTTTTAATTGCGACACTCCAATGCCGTGTCGGACACGTGTCCATGCCGTGTCCGATGCGTGTCCGTGTCCGACACTGCATACCCTCTCTAAGTGTCGTGTCGGTGCATCATAGATCTTGACCTTTCTTAACATAGGTATGATAACAATCAGCTGGGCTGATAGTGGATAAGGATATGGTGGTAGTAGTGGAAATACAAACTCAACAAACATAGTTGTGACCAGAGCATATGGAAATATTCATGAAGCACTTACGGAGATAATAAAACAACAGTCATTGCATGCAAAACTAGTGGATAAGGATATGGTGGCTGTAGTAGTAATACAAACTAAACAAATGTAGTTGTGAGTAGAGCGTACTGAAATTTTCATGAAGCACTTATGGAGATAATAAAGAAATAGAATCATTGCATGTTCATAGAACCATTGGAGAATGAACTATGAAAGCTTAGCTAAAGGAATCTCAACAAAATATCTTGGCAACCCTATGTCAGGCTCAATCATCACAACATCAGCTGGATTTGGCATAGGATTAGTTTAAAGTGGAAATGCTGGCTTGCATATCTCATCAAAAGCAGGCTCTAACTCAACTTGTAGCAATTTAGCATGCAAACTCAAGTTGTGGTACTTTGCAATCATCCTCAAAGGCCACAACATAATCAGAGATTTATTCACCATCATAATAAGAAAGTAGAGGTTTTTTTTTTTTTTTTTTTAGAAAGTAGAGGTATTAGTTTGACTTATGTTAAGAAAGGTAAAGGTAGATCTAAAAAGATTTGATTAGAAAATATTAGAAATGACCTTTCTTTATTAGATTTAAACGAGAATTTGACTTTTAATAGAACACAATGAAGAAAAAGGATTTATGTAGCCAACCCCACGTAGTGGGATAAAGGCTTGATATTGTTGTTGTATAATAATCCATTAGGAACTATGATAGATAAAATAGAAGCACAAAGTTCTAGCACAAGTTGTAGAATTAGAGACTTTTGGTAGACTTGGGTGATTGGTGATCCGAGGGTGAGGAAGCTGAAGATGCATATTTTTGAGGGAGATGATGCCCATGGGTGAAGCTATAAGGTGGAAGGTCACTTTACCATCAATAGGTTGACGGAGGAGGAGAGACTGATGGCAGTCGGGATTTGCTTGGAGGGAAAAGCTTTAGCAAGGCACCAGCGGAGGGATACGAGGCGACCCATATGAATTTGGAGAGATTTCAAGGATTGCTTGTTGGAATGTTTTCGAATTAGTAAGGGAGGAGACTTCTATGAGCTGTTCTTCGCCTTGATGCTGGAGGGGACAATTATGGAGTATCGTGAATAGTTTTAGCACTTGGACAACCGACTTGACCGGCTCCCAGAGATTGTACTAGAGGGAAACTTTATGAAAGGACACAAACCAAATATTAGAGCGACAATTAGAGTGATGAGATCTCATGATTTGGGAGAGGCTATGAAATTAGCCCAATTAGTGGAGAATCAGAGGCACCTGAAGTGAGGGGCTAGAGGCAACAATTCAGGAGGTTTGTACAGGATGACCACTACCTTTTTAGCATCAAAAGAGATAACACTGAGTACTCTTAAGGAGACTTTGAAAGAGAAGACTGTAGCAGGAAGGCTAGGGGAAAACTTCAAGAAACTCATAGAGATAGAGTTACAGGAGAAGAAGACAAAGGGGCTGTGTTTTAGATGTTATGAGTGGTATACACCAGGGCATAGGTGTAAGGACCGAACTCTTCAAGTTCTCATTGTTTGTAATGATGAGGGAATGGAGGGTTTCGTGTTTCCACCTTGCGGACAAGGTGGGCCTTTGGGAGGGGAGTATTGTTAGATCATTCCAGCTGGTCCTGGAGGGACTTGCTTTACTTCTATTAGGGGCAGAACACCTATAACGCTTGAATAGATGCCGCCTCTCTGCGTGGGGTCAAACAGACGTCAATTAGGAAGGGTATTAAGTGGTTTAGGAGGAAATATTCAGAGGGGCTGTTTAGAGAACTCCTTTATGATTGTATGCTTTAAGTAGTATGTTTTTCGAGGTTTATATTATCTTGTTTTTTTGTAAATTTGGAGAGTTCTTAGGTTTTAATTGGGCTCTAACCGCGTCTAGAGAATTGGGAGAGCCAAATCCTCCTCTCCAATTGAGGATCAATTGTATGTTGTTGTTTTTTTTCCACTATTATCAATTAAAAGAATCTCTATTTTGTTATTTCACCATCTACTCTTAATTTTTGCTTTACAAAAGGCTGAATTTTTAATTCAGCCAAGATTATTCCCTTTTTCTACAAGCATTTTCTATCAGATAGCTATCATATCAAGGAAGATAAGATTGATCAATAGGGATGGATTCAAAGTGGGCCCAAGGGGGCACCCTCCGTCCCAACAAAATATATATATATATGTATAATTATAATTTTTTTACTTTAATTTATTTTTTTTAATTTAATAGAGAATTTTATTATATTTCTTTAATCATTTATAATTCATTTCAACAAAATTTTTTACTTTTCTTCGATATATGAAAATCTTGATTTACATTGAAATTGATATTTTGAAGCATTTACTCAACTAGAGTCGTGATGAAATGAAAGGAAAAGAATAGGAAAAATGATCAAAATTGTCCTTTAACTCTTATGGAAGATCAAAATGGTCCCCAATCATATTAAATGATCATTTTGATCTCTTCCTTAAAGAAGAACCAACATAGTCCCCCCACGGGACTATTTTGGTTCCTCTTTAAAGATTTGATTAGAAGGCATGGATATTGTCAGGGACAACCAACCGCATTTTAATTACTAAGAAATCTCTTAAAGATAAAAATTATATTTTAATTGTAAATGTTAATGATATCATCTTGACATAAAGTCTTTAAGAAGAGATAAATAAATTTATTCGCATTCTGGTTAAAAATTTGAATTCAAGGATCTTTGTTTATTAAACTTTTTTAACATTAAAATAATAGGATCAAGCAAGGGGATATTTGTCTCAAAATAGAAATACACAATGGAATTACTAAAGGGAAATGCATGCTTGGGTGTAAGCCGACATTCACGCTAGTAGATCTCCATCAAACCAAGTTGGAATTAAGGAAGATTCAAACATGTTTGACAAAGTATTGATGATTACCAAGGAAACTTATATACTTAACTCGCACTAGACTTGACATTTGCTTCCTTGTTAGTTTTGTTAGTCAATTTATGAATAATCCCACGAATGAGCACCTCGATCTTATATACAAGTTATTAAGATAGCTTAAAAAGACACCTAAAAAAATGTTATTATTAAAAAACGAGATTAACTATTAAAATCTCAATTATCCCTTGGCCCATGATCCCACAACCAACATGAGGATCCATGGGAGGCTTAGCTGGATCACGTCGATCTCCTTCCATATTCGAGTGGTTGATTTAGGAATGATTATATTAGGGCAATTATGCATGATTCCGTATTTATTTATTTTTTTATTAAGATATATTGTATAGATCTATAAATAGGGATAATTTTGTATAATAAAATAAAGCATTTTTCCTCTCAAATTCTGAGTTTTTTTTACTGTCGGACTTTATGAAGGGAAGGTTGGGCCTTCCCTTTAGAAACGAAAGAGAGCGAGTTATCGGCTTGTTCGTTCCTGCATACGTCCAACAGAGAGGAGGGAGAGTGCTTCATCATACGGTCTCTGTTTTCGATCGAGAGAGATGACCGTCTCGTGTGTCTCATCTGGAGGAGTCGACCGAGAACCCCCGATCTCTGCGTTCGATCTCTAACGTCTCGTGAACTCCTCTCGTGTGCGTGTGACTGAACAGGATGAGAGAGGTGTGCGACCAACCTTAGCAGGATCATGCATCCTTGAAGCTTGTTGCATGCAATTTTTTTTTTTTTTGTAAAAAAAAATTTTGTTGCATGCATTAGCCTCCTATCACGTGCGTCTGGTGCGGAATCGAGAGGAGCCTTCATTTTTGGAATTCTAAGGAAAATAGGTTCCCACCACCAGCCTTCATTGCCAAAATTCCGAGGATACAGATTCCTAACACTAGCCTTCATTGCTGGAATTTTGAGGAATACAGATTCCCACCATCGGCCTTCATTGCTAGAATTATGAGGAATAATGGTCCTTACACCGGCCTTCATTGCTGGAATTCTAAGGAATATTGGTCATTCGTGCATCCAAGATCGAGGGGAGATCGAGCGGGACGTCTCCTTTCACGTGCAACGTCCATAGTCAACCGAGCTGAAGCGAGAGAAGTAGAGCACAAGACCTCCTCTTGCATGCATATGGAAAGAGCTGAGAGTTCCCTCTCGTGAGGGTAGTCTAAGGCCGGTACAAATAAGAGTGCAAAACATGCACTCCTCTCTTCGATTAGACCAGAGGGTTAGGCCTGGCGTGCGCCTATACATGGACCCATGGTCAATCGAACACAAGTGTTCGGGTGGAGTCGGACGATTGATTTGCATTAGGCTGAAGGCTAGCTTTGATCGAATAGGATGATATTTACTTGCCAAGTGCTGAGCCACTTGAGACGTATTTTTCTGATGTTGTCATTTAAAGCTTGCCGCAACCATAAGAATGTATTTTTTTCCTATTGTTGTGCTTTCATTTCCGGCCTTCCCATATGGTTGCTATCTTATCCATAACTAATGCAGTCTTCATTACAACCCTACTTAATATATCTTTCATTGCTACCCTTTGCCATCGCAATGTCTGAAGCTAATTTCTCCCAAAGTTTTGACCAAATGGAGGACTCTATGGTGCACCAAGAGACTCAACAACTCTACATTTTTGTACTAATTACCAAGCTGGGAATGACATATCTATATTTCCCAACTTGGGGGAGAGTGTTAAAATCTTAATCGTCCCTTGGCCCTTGATCCCACAGTCAGCAGGGAGATCCGTGGGAGGCTCACCTAGATTACGTTGTTAAATCTCATCTGTCTCTTGGCCCTTGATCGCACGGCTAGGATGGGGATCCATGGGAGACTCACATGGATCACGTAGATCTCTTTCCATATTCGGGTGGCTGATTTAGGAAGTATTATATTAGAGCAATTATGCATGTTTTCATATTTATTTGCTTATTTATTAAGATATCTTGTATAGATCTATAAATATGTATAGTTTGGTACAATAAAATTAAGTATTTACCCTCTCAAATTCTCGGAATTTAACATTAACACATGTATAGAAATCTTTGTTGATGCTGACTAGACTGGATCTAGAACAGATTACAAATTCACATGTGGTTATTGCTCACTTACATGGGAAAATTTAGCTACGGGGAGAAGCAAGAAAGGGTTTATGGTAGCCTAGAGCAAAGCTAAAGTAAGTAGAATTAAGTGTCATGAATCATAGAATTTGTGAAGGTATAAAGCTTCTAAGTTTTCTCAAAGATTTAAAAATTTTCGAGTTATGACAATCAAGCTGCTAGTAACATTATTAAGAATTATGTCCACCATGATAGAGCTGAGCATATTGAAATTGATAGCAATGTATAAAGGAGAGTATTGAACACTCATCCAAGTTAATTACAGTCCAACAAAACTTCAAAATTCTAATATTTTTATTATAGATCTTAATTAATCATATTTGATAAGTTTGCTTCCAAGCTGATGATGGTCAACATATATTTTGAGATTGAGGGGAAGTGCGTAAATCCTGAAATCATCTCCCTAGTCCAAACTCCAGCAATCAATTCAGCAACCCAACTATTGCCAGCTTGCAGCCATGCTAGCTCCCGCGAGGCCACAGATCTCCCAACAATTGATTCAGTAGCCTGCGTGCTAACAGCTAGCAACAGTGCCAGCTGCAACAACTCCTTTTTCACAATGGTTAGTTGTGAAAAAATATAGTTAAATATTGACCATAACTTAATATTATTGTTTTTAATATGAAGAGGCATCATTTATTACTTCCAAGACTTATCCTAGTTTTCCATGTTTGTGGATTGGAAATATATCAACTCTTCTTATTCATTCAATTTAAGTTTGGTCTACTTATCATTATTTTTGCCTCATCATATGGATTTGCTTTCTGTCTGATTTGGGTTGAAAACTACTAGAAGCCCTTTTTATTGATAGCTGAACGAATATGTATGCTTATTGTCAATACCAAAAGATATATTTTTCATTGGATTCGGTATCCTTATGTAGGTACTGGTTTTTCCTTACCTCAAGCAGAGTATGTTGTAATTGATGAAGGTCTAGATCCAGGCTTTGCTGCGGTGGGGAATACGCATTGTCCAACTTTCCAGAGTGAAGAAAACTTTTGGAGAGGATACCATGCTAGCTTGAATATCAAGCTTTATGAGAATGATTCTGAATCTCTTCCCTCTTCACGGGTAAAGATTTTGTTTATGCATATATTTCTAAAATTTAGCTTGAAAGCAATAATGACATTCAATAGAATAAAAATTCTACCAAATTTTGTTTATGCATATATTTCTTAAATTTAGCTTGAAATAAAAATTCTGCCAATATTGAGAAGTTAAAGCCCAAACTATCCAAGGTGGATGCATTTGGAAAAATCAAAGACGAATGGAATGTTGAACATTTTGTTGTTTTTTGGTTTTCATCTTTGACAATCCCATCTAAAGACGCTTCTCGCCAATTTGCTCCTTTGACGACAATTTGGTCATCCTTTTGCTTCGGGAGGGTAAATGTGATGTGCACCAAATGTGTTGGCGCCATCTCTAGAGCAAATGTATTTAATGAATGCAAAAGATCAAACATATTTTTTATTTCAGATCAAAACCTAAATAAATTAAAAACATAAAAACAATTTCAAACAATCCATAATAAGACAACAAAATGTTGAAGTCCATGCACCCTACATTTCTCGTTCGTGCCACGTTGGAGATTCAATCAAGTTATTGCATTTTCTTGATGAGGTTGGATGGCATTCAAAAGTTGTTAGACCACGTGGTTGATGGGTTCAGCTAGAATCGTTGCAGTCTTCTTTATTTTATGCTTGATAGGTCTGATCTCTTTCTTGACATTCAGCCCGTGGTAGGCGACTTTGATATCTAACTCTGCTATCTCAGTTGTAGTCCAAGCAAAGATATTGAGGTGATCCTTGAGAACTTGGCCCAGTTTGCCTAATGTGTTGGGCTAAAAGACGAGCTTATTCGCTGAGTTAACTCTAGGTTGTTTTTTGTTATTGGGACCTCCTACACCACTTAAGTAGATTTTAACCCTAGTCCCTTTCTTACCTCGAGTTGTACACTTCCTCGGTCGAGCTTGCCACTTTCGGCGCAACTTTAAGATAATAGGTTGGGATTGTGTTAGGTCACCTCTCACAGTGATTTCGTGGCATCTAGTTGGGAACTTGATTGCCACGCGGTAGTTTGAGACACCTGTCTTGAAGCATTCAGAAGTGGTCGCCCAAAGATCACGTCATAAGTGGCAAGCTCATCCCCCACTATGAAGTTGACTATCATTGTGTACTATTGATCTGGTAGTTGGTGACTAGCTTGGTGACCACTACATTGTTATTAAAGGGTATCCCACTAGTGGGGTTGTCTGCTTCGGTGAAGGCTATAAAAATATGCAATTTTCATTTGTCCCTGGTGTGGGCACCACCTTCATTGGCATGAGGAATTTGAAGAACTCATTATTTTGGATTACCTCCACTACCTTGGACATGGAAACTTGTTGGCGAGTGACAGTGGGTGCTAATGCATAGTTTACGTCCTGTCATCTCTATATGGACGCGTTGAGTGGCACTTCATCTATTTACAGGGCGAGTGTTCGATTTTGAGTGGCCTCATGTCATGGGTGCCCTTTGCTGGCCATGATGAAGATGGCCTTACTGCGCTAGTTATCTTCTCTCCACCTTGTGACCTTTCAGATGATTTGTATCATGCCTACGACTCTGTTGTCAATCATGCCTTGTCAATAACTCCTTAGGACAAGTGGTCGAGGACTTGACCACTCCGTTGTACTCTTCCGCATTTACATTATTGTTGGCAAGTTATAACAACTTAGCTATCATTTGCAACTGTTGAAGACCAAAGTTTTAGTTCTCCGTATCCACTGATGACTCTTAGTTTTGTTGCTCTTCACGTGTGCCCATCTTTTGGTTGTTGGCATGAATCTACGCTTGTCGCATTTCAGAGGATATTGAATCTAGATTTATTCATGGGTGACACTTGACTCTACCAATAGGCATTAGTGGGTTAAAGCTGGAGAACTGAGTGAGGAAGTATGGAGAGTAATTGAGGAGCTCTAATATCTTTATGAATAGTACAATCTACTTGAAGTTTAAAATATGCCTCTTCATCATTTATTTATTAAGTTAAGAGATAACAATGCAAACTACACCTAGAATAAAATAAAAATATAATACATAATGCAATTATAGATTGACGCAGGTATGTGGGATGGTGCACAAATGGACCCTTGCCCTGACGTGGCCCTTTGGTGGGTACCCTAGGTGACTACTTAAGAGTGACTGTTTTGTGATAGTATGTGAGAATTGACATGTAAGGCAAGTTGCAAAGATGGGCCCTTAGGAATGAATGATGAGTCATCAGGGATGAGTGGTTAGTCCCTTGGGGGAAAGTTGCTGTGAACTGGGGAAAACTATTAGTTGCGGACACCGAACGTAGAGATACGTCCGAACATCCTCTTAAAATTTGACAGGTGGAGTGGACATGTTGGATTTATTTTGTACTTTATATATTTAATGTGTCCACGGAACTTTAAACCAAGCGCACAAAAAATGCAACCAAAGCGCAGTTAAAGTGCAGGTAAAGCGTAGGAAAAGCATAGTAAAAAAGCATAACAAAAGATCAGTCAAAGCTCATGTAAAGGGCAGGTAAAGCGCAGAATAAAAACACAACAAAAGAGCAGTCAAAGCGCAACTAAAGTGCAGGTAAAGCACAGATAAAACGCACAAAAAGCACAACCAAAGTGCACTCCAGTTGTCAAATTTTAAGTGGATGTCCGGACGTATATCCACGTCCAGTCTCCACACCTAATAAAATTTCCATGAACTAGGGACTTGCTCAATTAATGAAGTTGTAGCCGACGCCTTTATAGTTGTGTGCTTCCAATAACTTGATTTAGGATATTTGTGATAGGCGGCTGGCCGTGATTGCAGACAACTGATGTGGGAGAGTGAGCTCTATTAGGGCGAGTGCCCCCTCAAGGCGAAGCCATGTCGGATGAGTCCTTTTGATGAACCTGTTGAGGATGAGTATGTCTTCAATCTATCCCTCTAAGTGTGAGCTCAAATATCGTGAGCTCTATTGGGGGTGAGCGGTTACTTGCTTACAGGCTGGTGGAGACAGTCCTGAATGCAAGTATTTCTTTGGCCATGTACTCTATCTGGAGACAGTCCTGAATGCAAATTTGGTTGATATTGGGAAGAACAATCCCAGAAGCCTCTCTAAAGGTACTCTTCATCCTCGTAATCCCTTTTGGGTTGCTTTAAGTTGATAAGGTGCTTTAGTGTTTACGCAATACTGTTCTCAAGCTATCATAAATTACATTTTAAGTAGGGAGATTTAAATACACGCCATTAAAAAATTTTATTTTGATTTAAATATGCATGAAATGCTACTAAATTCCACCTGCAAGTTTAACACCCACCCTGTTTTAAATTTTTTTTTTTTCAGAATATTCTCAGCCCAGATGTTCATCACTGATCGTTCTTAAAGTTTAATCCTTCTAGCTTATTATTTTAATTATTTGGATTATCTGATCAATAGTATTTTTTGCAGATTGTGAAGGATAATCAGTCAAGTCCGAAGATTTTAGAAAGAAATTCGAGTTCCAGGTCCCTGAACTATATGGGTAGGAATGCACAGGAGGAAGAACAAGGAACCTCTAAAGAAAGATCGTTTGATTCTGCTTCTGATATTGAGGATTATTATTTTTATTCCAGAAAGGAAGGAGAAGACGCCTCTATCCAGAAACACATATTGGTGGAGGATCACATGGCTTCCATTTCTCTCAGCGAAGGGCTGCAGTTAAGAAAACGGACAAATAAGAACTTTGATGAAGAGGAAATAAGAGACTTTCATGAGATTGATGGGTTTGAGTATGTGATTGTGTAAAGGTATTCTTTCTCTCTATTTTTAGCACTTTTGTTATGCTTCTCAAGTCAAAATGTGAAAAGAAAAAACAATTATTTATGAATTGGAGGTATTATTACCATTTTAATAAAAATTATCAGCATGTATATATAGATATTTCATAAGCTTAGTCTTAATATATTTTCAATATATTTTTAAATGACATATTATATATAAGAATGCTGTGATATATGAGATTTTGTATGCTAACATCTTATAAAATCTAATATATTAATTTGAATGAATTGAAGTTGCATTTTTATGATATGAAATGTAATATAAAGATGATAATGAAAATGTGCCAAGTCATTTCCTTTTTTTAACAAACAACTATATTTTTTTTCACAACAAATAAGCCATCAAATTTATGCCAAACATTACTTGCTAAAGAAATCATGCTATATCTAAGGGTGCAAACTAATCGAGCCCAGGCGAACTTCGACATGTTCGAGTTCTTTTGGCAAGATCTTGTTCGAGAGCCGAGCTTTTTTTATCCTTGTTTGAGCTCAAGCTCGTTTAACAAAAACATGTTCGAGCTTGGCTTATGTTTGTGTAAGGTTCATTTTAGGCTATTCGAGCTTATTAACGAGTTGCTAGTTTAAACAAAGAGAGTAATTATTACATCCGGCGTCCGAATGCATTCAAAGACCAATAACCGCGCGCCACGTCACCTAAAACTTGGTATTTTGGACTCGGTATTGCTCGGTATACATTCAGACCGTTCGATTTTTGACTAATTTCTGGGAGAGGCGGGTAGAGAAGTGCAAACGTTCTACTCATATTTTTATTTTTAAAGTTATGTATTCATTTCTAGCTAATTAGAGCTGAATATGAGTCTTAATTGTGCTTTAATCAGCTCTAATCAAATTTCTTAACATGTTTATTCATGAACTTTAAATGATACTGTTCATGAACATAAATGAACCGAACAACAAGCTATTCAAACACGTTTATTTAACCATCAAATATTTATAAAAAATGTTAATCTTATTCGCTTAGCTTATTAAAGAAACATAAACAAACTCTGAACGAGCCGAGCTACGAGCAGCTCGTCAAACGAACGATCCATTTGCAGCCCTACCCAAATCTTCTCCAAAAATCATGACCATTGATAATCAATCAAATACACAAACATTTTTATGATGCATACCTCCAATTATATAATAAAAAAAAGTGATTTCAAAATATATTAACTTTCAACTGGCTTATAATTGAACGCAGGAATACCCTACGATATATTAGATAATTTTGGTTAATAAAAGGCAGAAGTAACCTAAATTACATCGGCTCAACTTATTTTTTCACATTTTTAATAAATAAGTAAATCATTATAAAAATTAATAAAATTCATTCCACACATAATTCTTATATTACAAATAGTAATTAATGATATGTTATAGTGTTTGAAGATCATATAAACTAATAAATGAAATGAACAAAAAAAAGGAGAATAAATAATTTTTCTTCTAGAGAGAGAGAGAGAGTAGAATATCCCTGTCAATCACCAACTATTTTGGAAAAGTCAACCATAATAATAATATTAATATTAATAATAATAAACATAACAATAATGTCAAAGATAGAAACTTCGCCATTTTTCTTCAGCCTTTTTAGCCGAAAATTAAGCAGAAACATCCTCCTAATGACCAACATTCAAACCCCTTAACACGAGGAGCAATCCTCATCAGTAAATTCTTCTCCTCCTCCAATTCAATATTCAGGAAAAGAAACCATTGAATTTCACCATACTCTTTCTCCTACCTTTTTCCTTTCCAGAATACTAATAAAATCTTCATTAATAGAACTCCACATTCCCTTCTCCCATTGCTACAATATGATCCTCAGATCAAAATTCTTATTTCCATGGCTCCTCCTCGGCGCATTCATTTACTTCATCTTTTCTCGAAGCTCTTTTTCTCTCCCACCCAGACAAGAAGATATCAAACAAAGATTCATTGGTATAATTATACAGAAAAGCAAAGAATGATTGATTCGTAGATGAATTTTTTATCTGAAGGTAGTTTTGATTTGGTTCTGATCAGGTGGCTGGAAGCCAGGGTGTGATCTTTCCAATGGCACCTGGGTGAGAGATAATGGAAGCAGCCATGGATACACTAACCAGACATGTAAGTCATTACCTGAGTCTAAGAACTGTGGCAAGTATGGGAAGAATGGGGATTATGTGAGGTGGAGGTGGCAGCCGGCACGGTGCGAGTTGCCGAGGTTCAATGCTAAAGAATTCCTTGAAATTTCTAGGGGGAAAAGAATGGCCTTCGTCGGTGATTCGGTTGCCCGGAATCAGGCGGATTCGCTCGTCTGCTTGCTTTCTGAGGTTAGCCTAGCCTTCCCATATCAAATCTAATGAACAAAGAGAAATCAATTTAGTTTTGATCAATGATAACAACATCATGAAATTATTCTGTTCTTCACTTCTGACATGTAGGAAACTTGCTTTATTACTAGTCTCCAATGTTGGTTCATTGGAAAACTCTAATAAGATGATATTTGAATTCTTGAAACAAATCACAAATTAATAAGCATATGATAGGAAGCCCAACTGCATCATCAATCTTATATTTATGGATCATTACATTATATTGTGATGAGCTACGATGTTCTGGAAGTGCTTAGGCTAAACTTTTGAACTGAATTTAGTTACTTTTTTTACATTGTTTTAGAACTTCATATTTTTTAATAGACAATTTCATATAATCTCCCTAAAGGAGATGTCGGAAGGAATAGGCAAGACACGAGGTCAAATTATTTCATACAATCTTGATACTAAGTACAAATTTTGCCTATTGCATAGAATTTTCATGAGAAAAAAAATAGATATTCAAGGAAGATAATTTTAAGGTTCAGCAAGCAAGAGCTGAAAAAATAATGAATAGACCTGAAAGTTTTTCGGCTGGTTTAGCAAGTTATGGAAGGTGCTACCAAAGCACAGATCAAAAATAAATTGTAAGGGACGTTTGGTCTTGTGAAGAACAATAAACTGCATACACATTACATTAAAAACGAGGATGGATAATCTTTAAGATGTCCCCTAAGGAATGAAGATTTCAGTCATCTTCATGCAATCAAACAATCAAATTTCTCCAGATGGATAACAATTAGGCTAACAACAAACTAAAAAAATATACAAAGCATGAGTTGCAGTAATATTAAGAGTTCATAACGGCTTGCTACCGGGATAAAGGCCAACGATATACAAAAATGTCAGGACACAGAAATAAGATGAGCAAAATTTTGAAGTACAAGTTGGGGTTGTGTGTCTAGTAGCTGTTAAGTATCAGGAACTCGTGCAAAGACAGCCAAAACTTAAGTGCGTTATAGAATGCGGCATTTGATAATAATGATCAAGTAGATACGTGCAAACAAGTTAGCGTTTTCAAATTTAGCATTTCATTGACAAACTCTGGATTCAGTTGACTGGGTGGATTCAATAAGGATAATTATACAACAGAAAAGGAGACTGAAAACTGATAGGTTTATGATAGAATATTGACCATTGAACAGTTGACCTTTTTTGCATCATAGAATAAAAAAACTACAAGCTTGTACTTAAAGTTCACTGATATTCTTTTCCGGACAGCCAACTTCCCAGATTATAACTAAACTCAACATATTCAGGAAAAGCAAGTTATTTGACAGGTCTTTGTGGGCTCCACAAATTCACGCCCCGACCTCTCCTTGTTTGGGAGAGTTTTAACGAATTAAGTTCAGAGCAAACTTTTAGAAGGGAGATTGGGTTTGAAATAAGACACTACCCAGAAATTTTGTCCTCATTATGTGAGGATTTATGATATGAGTTCTGGTTTCATATAAGCGCAAGCCCCTTTAATTAATTACCCCTCCCGATCACGAGAGAGAACTTTCGATTAAGGCTAGTCAGCGAAACAAATACATAAAAATACATAGTATTTGGTGTATAGTAGTAGCAGGTTTGGTATTGTTGAAAATTTAATATTTAAAAATGAAAATTTCACCATCTTGCACTTAAAGCGGATGGTGGGGTGAATGATGATGAGCCCGATCAAGATCTCATGATTCCTTCGTCTCGAGTCATCATGGTCCCTAGTCTACTTAGTCAGAGGAGGTAGTCGACCCAACATGGCAGAAGAATCCTTGTCTACAGCCATGGGTTGTTTCGTCCAAGAGTACCTTATAGACCTGGGGTGAATATTTATCTAAGGGGACAAATTTGAATCAACCTTAGCTAACAAAGGGTTTTGTGCCCTATCAATTATATCATATTGATTTGTATCTCAAGGATTTGAAGTCATTGGGGAACATACGGGCTACAACCGTAACCATTATACAATAGAGTCGTTGGACCAAGCCATAAGGTGAGAGGGTCGCGGTCGTAATCGTTAACTACGCGGAGCCATCCAGTTAAGCCACAGGTTCTTTGCATAGGCGTCCGGCCAAACCGCTGATCAGAGGACCAATGTCACGTCCTTACTGACAAGAGATTGTTTGAGAACAAATCTCAGTGATATTATCGACCAGACATTAGCTTTTCGCGAGCCGAAGTAATTTTCAAATTTTGTCCACCTCAGCAAATTATTGCGAAGGGTGGATTTATTTTGCTTTAAGCATTCGATGACTGAATTTCGATTTTTAAATATTATAGGTTATGATATCTTTTGGAGTTTTGAATTTTGTAGGCATTTGGGTAGCATTTTAAGTCTCTATGATCCTCTCCAGTTGAGATTTTCTGCCAACACGACCATCCTTGGGGTGTTTATGGGCAACTTTTATTTTAGCCATACATTTCGCCTCAGAATGTGCGCCAATTTCCTCGAGTGACTTTCGTTGGACAGAATCACAGTCCATCTCAAGCGTTGTCGACGTTTCGAACGCAATGGAGTCTGTTTTGCTATCGGATGTTGTTTGGGCAACATCGCACGCTGATGTCCTCGATTTGCACGTGTTGTCTTGAAATGCCCGTCAATTTCACTGCACGGTTTTAATTGGATAATTTGATAGTCATTTTTGGTATTGAAGACGTTCCGGACATAACGGCGAAATCTGTTTTGCGATCGGATGTTGTTTGGGTGACGTCGCGCGTCAATTTCGGGTGTTGGTCATCCCTTTGGACCGGTCTCATCCAATTTGATTCCAAGGGGTTCTCTCTTATACGAATTCGACGTCCTGATTGCAACGGCACAGTCTGTTTGGCAATCGGAGGTCGTTTGACCTTTCAAGTGACGCGTCGTGTTGACGTGCGCGTTGCTTAAATAGCTGATTTTGCCCTTTTTTGCATTTTTTGATGTGTAGGGGTCAACAATCTTTTATGTAGCTGGTAATAAAGTTTTATTTCAATGAATATTCTGATAAGCTACCTTGCATTAAAGTTCAAGATAGTTTGATCCTAACCAAAACAATGAATGCTTCCATATTCACAGAAATAGCCTCTTTACAATTCAAAAATAAGGCTGCATACATGAAACCCCTCATGCAATTGGTATTTATTTTCCTGGAAGAACTAAGCAAAGAAAGCGCCATTTCACTTCCTGTTACAAACCAGACAACTATTTCCCATTTAACAGTGTTCATTCAAAGCAATTGCAGATGGAGATTCCAAAAGCATTCCACAAAGATCCTGAAGATAAATTTCCAATTTGGCATTTTGAATCCCACAATTTCACTCTTATGGTAATCTGGACCAAATTCCTAGTACAAGGAACCGAGAGATTGATAAATGGATCTAACTCTGGTGTCTATGATCTGCATCTGGACAAGATTGACCAAGAATGGACCAAGAAACTTCCATTTATTAACCATGTAGTCATTTCTAGCGGTCACTGGTTCTTCGGGAAAATCTACTTATATGAAGGTGGACAACTGATTGGATGCATCTACTGTTCTGAGAAAATTGTTAGGAACAATGACCCGGCTTTTGGCTTGCGGAAGGCCTTCAGAAAAGCACTGCAATTCCTAAACAAAGCTGAAGTGTTTGATCAAGATAACTTAATATTTTTGAGGACATTCTCACCAGCACATTTTGAAAACGGGACTTGGAATGGTGGTGGCTACTGCAACAGGACCAGACCCTTTGATGAAGGTGAAATAAACTTGGCCGGAACTTACTGGGAAATTCGAAATGCACAAGTAGAAGAAATAAATAAAATCAAAATAGCTTCTTCTAGCAATGCGAAGAGACGATTTGAGCTTTTGGACGTCACTAAGGCTATGATGATGAGACCTGATGCTCACCCAGATACAAACTGGAACAATCAATGGATGAGAGGTTACAGTGACTGCGTGCATTGGTGCATGCCTGGGGCTGTTGACATGTGGAATGATATGCTGCTGACACTACTCAAGAAATACTTGCTGGAGATAGGTAGTAGAAAAGCTCAATGATCCTATAACTGATAGTGTATATCAAATTTATATTTCATTTATTGTGATAAAAATAAACAACAGCATACTATGAAATTCTCTTCCTACAACAAGATAATAGCATGAACCAGATAAAAGATGTGACCATCAATGTCCTACCATTGTCTTTTAGAAGTTGTGGAGATGAAGTCATTCTTATATAGAAAGTTTGCTCATACAAAGACCATAAGTTAATTCACGCAAAGGATTTCCTCAGAAGCAGAGGCTTCTTCCTAGGAAACTCAAGCAAGAGATAGCATTTTCTTTTATTTTTCTTGAAGAATGCCAAAGAAAAATATAAATGTTTCTTTACTTTCCGAATTGAGAATGATGTATACTTGACAAGAACAATAACATCTTGGTTTTGTGTATAGGATTCAAATATTGCAGGAAAAACTAATCATGCATGTTATTAGTTCGGTATAATCTATTTTAGTAATAAAAGATGATGTAGGAGTTGAGCATTAATATTGATCACTGACACAAGTGTAGCTTCCAATTACCACTGAAATGTTGCATAAAGGGTTCTGTTGGAGCAAAAATTAAGAAGGAAAATGGTCTTCTTAAATGCCCTCCAACGGCACAATTAAAATATAGAATCTAAACCTGGTCCTTTCTACTCAAATAAATTCTAAATAATGTTTTTATTGCTTCAACTCTATGTAATATATATAAGTGACAGGGAAAATCTCCCGTTTGAAAATTTTCAAATATAAAAGCAAGGAGAGAACTCTACATCAAAATAAGGCCAAAATAAGGCTCAGCTTAATTTTGTATTCTTTTTTATATAAGTTCATTAAAAAAATAAAGAGAGGTATGCCATTGATTTGATTTGGCAACAGTGCAGATATTATGACATATGAGATTTAAAGGGGAGTTAATATTAGCTAAACCGTCGACAGGTCCAAAAGATGGAATAATTTATTCTGCTAGTGAGTCGCTAAAACGTCGACAGGTCCAATTAGTTGCCTACACCGTTGCGAAAGCCCCTAATGTCTGGATATTCAGATTTGCTACAAAAGACTTCCTTGAATGAGTTTGTCATTCTAGAAACCTCAGTTACGGGTTTGGACCTACATGGTTTCTTATTTTCTTATAATTTGCAGTCATGTTTGACAAGAGAGAGGAGCAATTAGGCAGAAGATTTATCATAAAGAGCTTTATAGGAAACTTGGCAGGAGAATTCTCCATACTCACATCCTATTTGAGAAAGCTGATTACTGGGTCTCTCTGATGCAAATTTTAAAAATTCCACTGGATTAGATGTCCTTAGCTAATATCAAGTCGTTTTATGGAACTCATTGCATGTTGTCTAACTGCAAACCAACAAAACGAAACCAGGACAACTATCAGTTGGTCAACCCCAGCCAGGAATGAAAATTTCAATTACATTTACATCACGTCAAAGACCTAACAGATATCAAATAAAGCACCTTATGTGTGACTTGCTCTTATCTTCATCATGAGTAAGGCAATGATCAGTTTCAGAAGACTGAAACTACAAAACAGGAATAACAGGGAAACTTTTTCCTATGCCACAAACCACACGGCCAAAGTAAAGAAAAAGCTCCCTTACTAGTGCAAACTCGCCGTGCCGGTCTCCATCGCTTAATCGGAAAGTGGAAGCTGCAGATCCCGCGGAAAAAAAACAATCCCGCTGGTAATCCTCGACTGCTTCCAACCCCTCGTTTATCGGCGATTAAAAGAGTCGCCGAGACAAGGGAAGGGGGGCTATTAGCAAAGTGGAAAACCGGAGACGGAGGAACTGGTAAGGTCGACTAGTGAATTTTTATGGCATCAGGTTACCTTACGTAGAGATACATCAGGTAGCCTATAATATTTCGTCACGTGCTCTTACTTTTTAACGTGCGGCCCGACCCAACCTGAAACGAATCCGGGATTACTATGTTCGCGTATTGCTCGGTATTTGCTCTATATTGCTCGGTATTGCTCTGTATTTGCTCGGTATTGCTAGGTACTACTCGGTATTTGCTCAGTACTATTCGGTATGTGCTCGGTATTTTCATCAACGACTGGGAACCTTGAAGAGAAAGTGATAAAGCCGCTCCTGCGCGTTGAGGAATACCGCGCGGACTCGTCGCCGGGCGACGACAGTATCAAGGCTCTAAGACGCCACTGCGTTGAGCTCTTCACTCACGCCTTCGATTGCACGCCGCTCGGCGGCGATCCTAATGACGGTCGGCGTTCTCACACCCCGAAGTAGCAAAAACTTGCAACGGCGTTGTGAGATCGGAGTACTATGCAATACCTCTAATAATACCTTAATTATTTCTCTAATACCATCCCCATATTAAAAAAAAAAAATTAATATTTTAAAACAAGAATCTAGGTTCTTGTCAACCATCATATTTAAGCTTGGAAGAATAAATATTAGCAATTTAATTTTTTTTTGGGAGAATTTAGCAATTTAATTAAGATGGTAAAAAATTTCTAGTAATATCATTAATGTAATGACATAAATATTATGTCATTAGAAATAGCAATTAACTAATGATCTACATCTAATCCAAGATTTTTATTAGCTTAATGAACTCATTTATATATTTGGTTCATTTTCTTGTTTAGTTTTTCTTCAATGTTGGTGTTAATGTATTTTTATATGTTGTAATTAGGGCGTGTCATGACCTTTGTACTATCACGTAGTTTTAGGCCAATTTCAAGCTTTTAAGTGTTACAAAATTAATTTAATTATTATATTTCTTAGCTCTTTCATGAATAAGAGCTAGGGTTTATTTTGTAAGAGTTAAAGATATTTGAAATTAAAAGAAGCCTATGCCATTTTATGGATAGACGAATTTGATTACTAATTTATCATAAGGGAAACATCTAAATGAGTACGAATAATGATACAATTTTTAGATCTTAAAGCATTAAGTATTTAAATAAAAAAACAATATGTGATCGACTATGGGATATTATAAATCCTATTTTCAACAAATTTATACTTGAAACAGATATTTTGATAAGAAGAATCCTACGAGACTAAAGACTTCTTAATCCTAGTTCAAATGAGCCTTTAAATTAAGTACTTGAAAATATAGTTGAAAATTTCGGACACCAAATGACCTCCTCTTTTTTAGTGTCTCGATAAGATGAATCCTAAGTGCTAAATATTGCTCAATTTTGATATTATTAATATATTAAAATATCTAAAAAATACCAAGTAATCAAAGGGGACCAATATACTTGCTGGTTCCATTGTCATCTGTTGATAATTCCAATGTCGATTGCTATCGATGCCAACCATTATACGCTTGTGACGCCTGAAAACATATATAATAGTCATACATATGATCCATTTTTATATATAATTAGTCATAGATTAATTTTCTTAAGAAATTATAATGACAATAATGACTAATTTGACATTTGGCTAGCAAATGCTACCTACTAAGAAATATTATGTGATGTGTATCACAATATAAAAGCCTATAAATACCCCATGGAATCATTAAAGATGATGAAAACTCAATTGAAGTAAAAAATATCACCACTCATTCTCATTACAATTCTTTCGCTTCTCAAAACAATGTCTTCACTTTGCAATTTCCTTAGAGGATTTTGTGTGCTAATACACTTTAAGATTGGATTTCATATTCATTAAACTAGTTCATCATTATATTGTATAGTATTAGAAGTGGCATTATTTGTTGCTTTGAAATAGTAGTTTTAGATTTAACCACTTGATGAAAGAGGCTCAAAACGAGAATGCTTCACTTGTGGATTGTGAAGAACATAATTAGTGAAACTCTAGAAGAGCATATTTAGAGGAGTCATGGAATTGGGGTCTATTACGGTCTGGAATATTCACTGTGGTAGAGAATATAAAGTTTAGTGTCCTAGCCTTGTAGGAAGATCTAGCACACAAACAAATAAAAGAGTAGGGTGTAGCGTTTAAAAGAGACTCTGAGTTTTTTATGTGAAAATCCTGAAAAAGCGAAAAAAAAAAAAACAATGGCACCTAGCCTAGTTTGATTGAATCCACTATTATTGATAATTGATTACAAATAATATCTCTCTTCGGAGGAGGGTGCTAACTTAATGTAGCAAACACACATTGTATATAGCTCGTTACATGATAATTATTTTAAAAAAATTGTTGACGTGTCTATTTGGTCAGTAAGATTGTAGTCGACATACCAAGGTGGTCGGAGGGACCATATGTAACGCCTTAGAATCAAATTTGGAAGAATTATTTGTTTTATCTTTTTAATTAATCCACACTATGAGCTCAAAGGCCTAGCATTAATCCAAAACTCACTAAAACTTTCAATGCAACGATTAAAGAATCAATATAAAATACTCAATCTAATATAATCAATAACAGTCTATATAGTTAATGATCAAATATTATCAATAAAACTCAAAATAATCAATAATAAAAGCAAGAAATCATTACAATAAATATAAAAATTAATAATTGATATAAAATTAAATAAATTAATAAAATAATGATGAAAAATTCATTCATAAATCACTATAAGAATATATTTTATCTATTTATATGCATCATCTATCTATGTATTATCAATGCATCGAGTATTGTCAATGATATTAATGTATCTGTCAATGTCATCAATGTTATCAATGTATGATTTAGAAAGAAAAAATATACTATTTTAACTTGATATTTTCAACATCTTTTATCCCGACTAATTCACAGTTGGTCATCAGTCATATCCATTATCACTCATTCAACTAATCAATTATCATTATAGATGACATTATTAAATAATAAAAGAGTCATCACTCTATACATGTCGGTGTAATCGGTCATCTAGTATAGTCTATAACGAGGATAACACAATAAATCATCTTTAAAAAAAGCCCGTTGGCCCACCCTCCTATACAAGATATCATATTTTAACAATCAGCCCATTCTATAATGTTATCAACTAATCTTTTTTGCTTATGTAAATGCCACAATCAAAATGCAGTAGAAAATAATTAATTCTATTTAATTTAAG